GATTTTTTTTTTAAATTTGCCCCCCCCCCCAAAAAAAAAAAAATATATATCCTCCTTAGACCAAGTATTTATGATTATGTTAAACCCTTCAATTAGCATGTTGAATACTGAAATGGTGCTGCAGTGGAAATAGTGTTTGTTGTGTACTGTTTTAACTGAAATTAGAATATAAAGTTACTGTGATATTATCCTATGAAATAGAAACATTCATCTTGTAGTCAGATTTGCCCATCTAATATTATTGAAAACAGCAGCATCGGTAGTTTGACAGAAGATACATAGAAGAAAATATAACATATAAGAGATGAGGTGTTACAGTAATTAATGTAAAAGCAAATTTGTAAGTATACACATTAACCACAAAGATGGCCTCTTATTAAGTGAGTCCCTCATCTTTACAGCATTACATACCGTCAGGTTGCAAATAGAGGTAATAGCCTCTAGATATAGAAGATAGCTGCGTATATACTGAATAAACTGTCGCAGACAGAACAAATGATGGTCCTCCAGCTTGGGGGTTTCAGAGGATGGCTAATAACTCACAATTAAAAAACCAGTATATTACAAAATGCAGTAAGATATTTTAAACAACATAGTTTCTGTCTTTGTTGCAGCTTCTGAAGCAACCCTCATCAACATCCGGAATGCAAGGAAGCACTTTGAAAAGTTGGAACGTGTTAGTCAAGCACAAAGTACACTTGCAAAGTAAAATTTTCAGAAGAAATTAATTACTGAATAAGCTATATAATATATACTTATATGTGGTAAAGCCCTTTTGAAAATATTTGTGGAACCTGTTAGAACATAAGAAGACCTTTTAGGAGAATAAAATGAGAACATGTTTTAAGAGGACCTATAGACAGTACCTAAAATAAACATTTTTTACAGAAACTTCATTACATCAAGGAAGCCAAATAGTTTTTACATATATATAAGATATTGCACATTATACTTTGTATGAAAATGGCCCAACATTTTTAAAATGTCAGACTGTATATACAATCTCCAAGAACCTTCCACATTGTTATGTGCATTTTCATGCTGTGTTATGAAAGAACACTATATTTTGATGGGAACATTGAAGTTAATTCTCGAGTGATCCCTCTTGTTACAATTTCTTCATAATACCTGCCCTTAAACTGCATCCCTTATGAAATTACACTATTCTGTCTAATCCAAAGATAAGGTATGGACCTGTTTTTTCATCTCAGTTCCCAAATTCATGAAACAGAATGCAGTGGATTGTGATGGTATGAAGATGGGTTTTGATGAGGGCCAATGGTATGATTGGGAGTCTGATGTGCCACTCTGCTGGACCACAGTATGACTGTTATAAATTTACAAAATTACATTTCTTCTGGAACTTTTTCTATGGTATGCACATGCAAGTGCCACTAACAAAATTTATTAGCATGTTTGATGTGACCTGATTTGTAATCTAAACATCACTGTAATTTATGCATGTATAAGTTTCATGTTCCATTCCTATTCTGATTATGTTTGCTCATAGACTGGTATTATTATAGTATGAGTTAAACAGCCAACTGTATGATAAGCACAGTGAGCTCTTGTGCTAAAAAAGTTATATGTTATTAATTTAATACTGATTAGAGAGCTGAAAAGATGAGCAAGAAATTCTGTAAACCTGTGTATTAAGATGAATTTTCCAAATTGCAAATAAATGAGATGTGTTTGTATCATAGATTTAAAAACTTTGTTATTTACAACAAACATGCAATGAAAGCTATTTTCCTTCTTAATTCAGTTACTAAACTAAAACCATAGAAAAGTTAAATATAAATGTTTTTGAATATGGTGTTGTCATAAAGAAGATTATTTTTATTTCTGGACACTGTTCATCATAAGTTGTTTTCAGAACCAATGTTTTGGAAACTGGCTCTGTTTCTGTTGTGAGATAGCTGGGTAAGTAACTAGTCTTTATCACAGAATCCCTACCAAATCACCCATATCAGCATTTTCACAGCAAACATAGTCTTAACTGTAATAAAGTAGTAGAAATTTAGAGCTGGAAGAGAAATGAAAACATGAAAATTGTGTACCTCACGGGACAAACGTCTTAGAAAGTGGTCAGGGATGGAAGAATACATACTATGTAATACGATCATTAGGAAAGTGGGTTATGAGGCTGTGAAATGGAAGCAGCAAAGTACTTAATAATTGCAGTGTTTAATTAATCCAAATATTTTCCTGGGTTTATAAATACTGACTGGTGGCCATGGCCATTAAAGTATGGTGATAAGCTTTGATCATTCCAAGCCAAATGAATGTTTGCCAGTTTCTCATCACTATGAATCGACCAATTCATTGCCACAAGCCTCTCCCATCTAGTAATGCACACTTTCAGTTGAAAAGCCTAAAAAGCAATTCCCATGACATACCAGTACTGGAAAGTCCGGGGAAAATGCTCTGAGCAAAAGACAGATTTAGAAGTCCTTACTCAGGATAGCTGGCATTGGGTATGGTTGAAATCTAGGCTTTCCACATGCAAAGTAGGTCTATTTTAAATTTCTTATTAAATGATATAGTCACATTGCTACTTACACACTCTGTCAGTATTCTCAAGAGAGGTGCCTGCTGGATACAATGAAACACCACATTCCTGCCTATCAGCTGCAGGACAGTCTCTGAACATTTAGGCTGTTGAAACTGACAGATTCATGCCTACTAGATGATCTCTGAACATCTGATCTGTTCAAGCTGTAATGGTTATATTTCTTCTTGCCAAAACCTTTCCAGCTCTGAAACAAAATAATGGAAGCAACAGAAATGAAATTTTGTGTGTGCACACATGCATGCTGCTGCATGTCTGGCATACACCAGAGTTCAATTAATGAAAGGGAAACCTAAAAATAAAGTAAAGTAAAGCTGTTCCACTATACACCATGTAGGTGCTTGGGAGGAGAGGTGGTATAGCTCCAACTCATTCTTGACCTCAGCACTAGACGGGGGTGAGTGGTCAGCATCACGCTCCGGCCGCACTTTACCCCTGGGAAAGGACCCGGTACCCATTGGATAAGAGGCTGGGTGGGCCCCAGAACCGGTCTGGATGCAGAGGCTAGAGGAAAAATCCTTTGCTCCCTTCTGTGATCGAACCCCGGTCGTCCAGTCCGTAGCCAGTCACTATACTGACTGAGCTATACCAGAAACCTATGTTTTTAAATACCACAAAATCTATGTGTTTCACATCTGAGGATTTTGTTATCTGGAATATATCACTGATCCTGGGTGAAAAAGTATCATAAATTATAGCCTTTGATTTATTAAAACTTTCATACCTTTTGAAGTTTTGCATAAGCTGCAGGGGTATAGTTTTGTAGTACACTGAATATACAGTCAGGAACCAGACAAGCCAGCATGAGAATAAGTGAGAGTAACCAGAAAGTGCATGAGCCAAGAAGAACAGGGTAGACATAAGCCATTGAAGTAGTTCTGTAATAAACAATAACAACATACAATTATGTTTCTCTGTAATATTTTCTGTTAACTACCATACAAAGCAACATTTGGCATACATGATATATGAGATGTAAATGTCATCCATTACTTTTTAATAAAGGTCATACTTTTCCCAGTTACTGTATAATCCAATGACATTAATGCTCATTATAATCTGTTTTGTCCATATCTGTTATTAAAATAATACCAATTAGCAAGTAATATAGGAGATCCAAGAAAAATATTGGTTGTGGTGTCTTTGAGCCTTATGAGAAAAACCATCAGTATTACTTTGAACCTGATGGAAGTACACATCCCTCTTTGATGTAAATGAGTTTCTAACACCAGGAACAGTCAATTACTGCATGCATTACAGTGTATTAAAAGAACACTTGCTGTTGCTTGATGAATTTTATGATCCTCAAGGATCAAATCCTACAGCTTATAATAATAATTTCTGTAATTTGCTTTCTAAAAATAACATTTTCAATGACAAACCAGTGAAGATATCAAGAGTGATATGATATGTCTGAATTAATCATATGCTTTTTCTGAAATTTTATAATTTTACACTCACCACGAATGTTTCACACATTTCTAGATGTAAGATTTGAGGTTTTCACAGCGGTGAGTATGAAGATTTCTGTCTTCTGGGTTGTTGCGCTGTAGTCTGGTCGATGTTAACCAACGTTTCGGAGGTCATACTTCCTTGATGATGGAGGCAGTATGACCTCTGAAACGTTGGTTAACATCGACCAGACTACAGCGCAACAACCCAGAAGACAGAAATATTCATTTCTAGATGTGTTTATATCATGTCAGGATACAAATTCACATATATAGTTAAAATTATTCATCAGTTTCTGTTGGATGCCCCTCAATAAACAGACACAGGTTGTAGCTGATGTGTGCTAATGTGCCTGCCCTCTCTTAAGAGTTCTCACTTCTATGGTGTTCTGTTTATACCATAATATCTGTGGGTTCTTGTAAAATTAAAGGTTCACTCTGTTTTCTCATTCAGCATGCATTCACAAATTGAGGTAAAATTCAGGAAATCCAAATTTGTGTACCTTTTTATATGGGAATTATTTTTTCAGAGATTATATATATAAACTGTGTCTCAGTGGGACTCTAGATTTTTCTTTGTTAATGGAGCTTATCCTACACAGTTTCATAACACAAATTTTTCTTTCAGTAAATATAATAATTTCTAACTGAGTAAATTAGTCTAATATGACCTGCATTGAGAAGGTCTGCATATAAATTACTTTCAGAAATTTTTCAGTTTTACGCAACTCCACAAAAGTGGAAAACAGTAACACTGCCCCTTGCTTCCTCCATCTTTTCTAATTCATATACATCCTGACATCCATGAAGCAGAAACAAATATAATTTCTTGCTCTGCAAGAATGAAACTCACGTTACGATGGAATAAATGGCAGTGACCAGTATGAATCCACATATGGTGACTAGTAATGCTGATCCCAAAAAGAGCCACGTCCAATAATGACTTTTTAATACAAGCTAAAAGCAGAAATAAAATAACATTTAAATTGTATATAAACCTTATACTTTATTATGTATTCTTCATAAGGGTTAGCTCAAGGCAGGTTAAACTACCTCAGAAGGTAACTTAACTACAAAAATAAGTTGATAGTTGCTTAAATGGTCAAGAAACTCCCTGCTTTTACTGAAACTCTGAGGTCCATAATCATGTTCACAAAAGAACCACAATAAAATACTGGGGCATTCATGATAAGTAATTAGTAGATAACATTTGAGACATTAGTGACAAATTCAAAGGCAGTAGACTTGCTATCATTATATCAATGCAGTAAATTACACCAACAAAATCAATGTCTAGGTTAAGAATGCCTCTTTTATGAAAGGTATGTTGGTATATTTGAATTCCATGTATGTATTACTTGTGTTATACTTTAGCACAACAAAGCATGTACACTTATATTTCATATTCTATAATTTGCATGTTGATTAAGTGACAGGGGTAGGAAATATGTTTTATATACACATAATCCAAAAGGATTTTCAATGTGTGCACACAGCACAATACAAATTACTCTTAGTAATGTCACAATTATAATTTTAGAGGATATAAGTGCAGTAGTAGCACAGCAAATACTACAGGCATGGGGAGGTTGACTCCCATCAGCTCATTGTGATATACACATAACACTGGTGAAAATACATAATGGGAAGTGTATGAGAAGTAAAGGCTTGAATCACAAGTAGATACCTGAAAAGCATACATTAAATAAATTCAACAAGAAAAATTTTCAACAGGAAAAATTTGCATATAGATAATCTACAGACAGTTAATCAGGACTATACCGAATTTAGCTGATGGGTCTTTCAAAATAATTCTGTATTATGCTGTATTTACAATATTAATATGTTGCAGTTCAACTACACTTGTTCCTATTTGTACACCTAACAAAGCTCTATTATAGATACCAACTTACCTTCAGGTTAGCTACACACACCACACAATGAAATATGAATGTTCCAAATGCTATCATTTCCATGGGTGTATTACTAAAGAAAACAACTGGATTGTCAAGAAGCATGAAGTAAGGTACAAAGTACAGTACAACAGAGTGCCACACTCCTGGAACAGAAATATTCAAATTAAATAAAACAATTATGCATGCCAAGGAACTGATAAAACAACATTAAAAATATATTTAAATTTGGAATTCTGTAACTTATTTTCATCTTTATAAATAATAAATACATTAAATAATATATTAAAAATAATTATCTCCACACTAGAAATTCAATAAACAAGCTTTAAACGTATGCTGCACTAACACAGTAGAATGGTACTACAACAGTACAATAATAACAATGTCTCTCTGCTAGACATTAAAAAAGTTACTGTATCAAGTTTGCTAAAGGAACTAATTAGTTTATGTAGTAATCACGGTTTTGATATTTTAATTTCATTACTTTTGTATACTGTGAGCACAATTTGCATGAAGTGTGAATAGAAGGAACTTCATAATTTGCTTCTTTCTTTTAATTTGAAATATTCTCCTCTATTTCATATACTATATAACTGCAATGCAGAACATATGCAACTAGTTCATAAAGTGAATTTAAGGAGAAGTTGAATTAAAATGTTTGCCAAGATATGATATTTGGATAAAAATGCCATTGGGTTCTAGAGCCCCTTCTTCTTCTTTCTTTCTTTCTTCTTTTTTTTTTCCCCTCCCCACTTTAACAGCTTCATGTTCTGTTCAGACAGATTAAACCTAGAGAACTAAATTATATTTAAACTACAAACAATAAGAGCAACCATAATACAAAAACACTCACATCTGTATGAATTGGACTAAAAATGAAAATTGGATAAACAGCAAGAGGCAACACCAACATTACAATAATCTGGATTACAACCATTTACACTTTACTATATTGTAACATTCTATTTCATTTTTTGACTCACCAAATGTTATCCACTGGAAGAAAGAGGACCAAGACATGAGAACATTGCGTCTTATATTCTTATACACTTGTGGATAATCCAGTAAGGTTTGTGCAGGATGATTTTGCTCAAACAATCCATAGATAAGAATTGGCAGTGATGTAAACAGTACATTGTAGCATGTGAGAAACATGGTATCATACAGAGGCTGGAAGAATTAAGGAAATATAACTAGCATTTTCAAACCATACATAATGTTACAGACTTCAAACCAAGCATAATGTTACAGACAAGCAAATATGTGGTACTAAAAATTTTAACAACTGATTAAGTACAATGATGAGAGAATTTTCTTTAGGAATCATTCTTTTTGCCTATATTGTAAAGATTCAGGATTTACAATGTTTCAGAATCTGCTCTGGCTGTGTCACCAAGTAGGAGGAAAAAAGGTGTGGAATTTGAGGTTCTCATGATGGTACAGATGGTGATAATCTTGTGGGTTTTGATGCTGTGTAGATTTGTTGGTAGATTCAAACATTTTGGAGCAACAAAACATCTCCATCTTCAGCCCTGAAGATGATGGAAACAGTACCACTGAAACATTGGTATCTACCCATGAGCCTAAACAGCACTAAAACCCAGAAGAACAAGATCAACCCCAAAGATCATCTACATTCACAGTACCATAAAAATATCTATTCTTACATGCATAAGGCTAGTCATGATCACTTGGCACTGGGGTATGTAACATGAGGGTTTTATATATAAATAAAAAGAGGAAGCACTACTCGATGGTTTGATGTCTTTTTAATACATAAGTAGACAATTTCCAAAGATAATTAACTAATAACAATAAAAGATTATCCAAACTTCCATCAGTCTGATGTGTTAAGATTCTGATCTTCAAACCTAGTGCTACAAGCTATGCAAGAACTGCTAGATTGTTTTTAAAAAAAATTAATAACATTTTTAAGAAGTCTTTATGTACAAAATAAGAAAGAAAATATTAAAGACCAAGTAATTTACATAATTCTATCACCTCTTAATGTACAGTATATATGAACTGTATTAGCAGAAAACCAGCTTCTAAACATTAGTCAAATAGATTGTGGCAGGCCTGGTACAGTCACCTCAATGGTAAAATCTGTTTATAGAAATTATTGTTGTTATTGTTATTATTATCCATGGCTCTACAGCCCTTGATAGGCCTTGGTCTCCTCCCATATAGGAGGTTACTTGATCTATTTTATACATGTGGTAGAAATCCTCAGATGAGTGATCAGCCTGTCACAAGCCTTTACCTATACAGGACTGCATAACACACAAAGACGTGAACAAACATCCATGCCTTGAATGGGATTCAAACATATGGAAATGATTACTAGACTAAATTCTACCTTAAGATCCACATAATAATGACCTCTTTTATGGATATAAAATATTTACAATCTCTCTGGAAACAATTCTCCCATTTTTCATCTAACACAAGAACTCCAAATTTTTGAAAACAAAATTATTTCATTGCCAAATTTAACATTGCCGTTGCAGTGTTTACTCCAACCCTTGAATGTTAGAATTCAGATTCTGTGGTACAAAATTTGATGCACTTGACATTCCAAACAGTACAAAGGGAACAGAATGAAGTCAACAATGATAGAGCATGGTCATATGATATGACAAGACAGAGTATACACACATAAAAAGGCAGGAACACTAAAAGTTTTCCAAATTTGAGGTGGGTGAACTTAGAAGCACAACACTATATTGTTTGTAGAAGGGCAAAGTGTTTTGAGGGAAAAGTGCCATCTGCTCCTATCCTGTCTCATATTCTTAGAGGGACAGAACACATCAAAATTTGAATTGACAGCTTAATGAAATTACCTGTGTAGAGAACCCATTGCTGAAGGCATAATATACCTGTGGAGTGATGAATACTATATTTTTATAAAAGAAATACTGGACTAGAGTTGCCACCCGGATGTAATACCAGTGACCATGGACAAAGAGAATACGGCGCAGAAACTTGAACCGTGCAAAAGCGAAGTCCGAGCTCCGTACAGCTTGCCGACCCTCTTTTCCCATAATGCCTGTCAAAAAATACAGTGAGAAAGATACTACTGAAACAGTAACTAATACAAATATGTTTCCTGAGTATTATTTATTATTATTTTAACAAATATAAATACAGGATCACACCCTGTGGGTTATCCAAGTACCACAATTTTTAGCTCATTACTCTTTCAAATAAGTGGCCTGCTGCTTTGTCTGAAGTTACTATTTAGATGTTAGGATCAGAGCTGGTAGCAGGTAGTGCAAGGTAAAGTATAATGCAACCTCTGAACATGATGCAGCTCTATGATATTATGGCTAACCCAAGTAGAACTCAATGTTAGATTCTAGTGTGTTAATCCATCCCTTGTAAATTTCAAGTGTGCACAACCTCTACAATAACCAATGCAGGCTTATTAACCCTTGTTCAATGGGAGCATAAAAAACCCACCCAATAAATTAAGCTGTAAATATCAGGAAACAGGGCATTAATACTCTTAAATAACAGATTATTTTTCTATGCCAATATCTCTAAACCTATAAACACTTTAACAATATTAAAATTCCACCTGAAACCATTACAGTATTTCAATAAATGTAATAAATATACTATGATAATAAAAAGGTCCCTTAAATTTGAAGTTTTCATGGCAGTAATGACCACAATCAACAAAACAGCCTCTACTCATAACTTGCTTACAAACTCACCAAGACCCACATGGGCTTCTTGAATCATGGATACATCATTGGCACCATCTCCAATAGCAGCGGTAATGGGCTTTTCTGGAAACCCCTTGACTAGTTGAACTACCTGAAACAAAGTTCCCTTCTAATAATGATTAAGTCCAATTCTGAGCTGAATTAAGGCAAGTGATGGAAGTTATTCAGTGTAGTATGCTGGTAAAACATTATAATCACAGAACAAAGAGTACCACCTGCTTTAACAGTCAGTAGCTCTGCATTTTGCCCACAGAGAGTATTTGTTGGTTTCATACGATTTCCAGAGTAAAATGCTATTATTTTGCTAAACAACATTAACCAATGGACCTTTGTAATGGAGACACATTATGAAGTATGGGCTGAATGTTTAAATTACTTAAATGAACTTTAACTTCAGAGTTCATACTGGTATTCTGTGGTTCTGAAATACATTACTATTATAAAACACAGTAATAACTGAATTCGGTGGGAGTAATTAGTAATTTATGTTGACGCACAATACCAGGCTATATCAAGGTGGGAGCACTGAACTGGTGAAAACTAGCTTTGCAGCAATATAACATGATGGAATAATGAAGCAAGCACATAAGCACTGGGATACAGACCACTGGGAGAAAGGATTCTGTATGTCTGAAGGAAAGATGGGAAGGTTAACAACACAGTGTTTAGAAACAGGAAATTAAGACTAATCCTGTATAGTTCATGATGATGGTGAAGAGGTGGATGCAAATCACATCCTGCAGTATGATGTCTTATTGGCAGAGGAAGACCTAGTGAATAATAACCCCCCTGGTTGTTTCATGGACAGTACTTATGTAAAAGACCTGAAACTTCAAAAACTGCTTATGATTTTCAGCCAGTTTAGTAAACCAAACTGCATAAATAAATATTTGAATGAACTGAAGTCTGTTATGAAAAGAGATGTAAAATAACATGGAATTCTATACATTACATATTTTTTAAGTTGATACTGAATAACTTTATCAGTTTAGAGCTTTTTAAAATTGCCAACTACCTAATTATATTCAGCCATAAATATAGTATATACTTCAAAATTGTCATCTTACATATAAACAATGAGCTAGTTCCACTTATAATTAAAACTATTTAAACAGTTTAAATAATAGCATTCAATCTTAACAAAGTTGTGGCTTTTATTTACATCATACAACTGTTATGGTTATTCATACATTCTTTCTTCTTAACAAGCAACTGAAACACCCCATAAAATTTTCTTATGATGAATGGAGTTACAGATTTTCAACTCCTTCAATTAAATATGAAGAATTTATAACAAGACATTATGTGATACATTGACATGCTGAATCTGTATAAATATCAAATACTTGTTCCTCACATCATATTGTAATGATTTATTTATATCATCTAACATGTAATTATGCATCTGTGTGAGCATAACACACCTGACATTTTTGAAGAGGAGACATGCGACAGCATATGACAGCTGTACAGGCTCTGCATATGTCTTGGAATGCTTCAAGATGATTGTCTGATGTGTTGAGTGCAAAGTAAAGGCTCTGTCCATCCACCACCAACCCATAGTGTTCCAAACGTTCCCTAGACACCTGATTCCTGCATAAATGTTAAATTTACAACTTATATTAAAATACGGAAAGAAGTTAATATACCTTTTAACCATCTGATATTCCAGCAGGTCAAGTTTTTTAAGTTACAAAACTGTCAGACTGAGTCAAACATTGCATTATAACATGATTTCCTGAATTTCAGACTTAGCCCAACAAATGACCCACTTTAAGGTTCATTTATTTGAAACCACCATGGTAAACATTTTACATATTCCCATTTTCAGACTGTTTGAATTGTCAGACTCAGCCAGACATTGAATTGGAATATGATTTCCATGAATGTCAAGCTAACAGACAATGTGCTAAAATCTGTTAACCAAAATATGCATGTTGGAGGAATTTTCTGTGATTTAGCAAAAGCTTTTGACTATGTAAATCATGAAATTTTGTTGGATAAATTGCATTTTTATAGCATTCAAGTTATAGCAGCGCAATGGTTCAGATCCTATTTAACAGATAGAAAGCAAAAGGTCGAAGTAAAAGCACCTAAAAACAAACAAAATTTTTTCTCAAACTGGGGAACAATAAAACATGGAGTTCCCCAAGGGTCA